TGGAGCGCGTGGCGCCCATCGTCGAAATCGACGGGGTAACTGTCGTGTGTGTGTGTGTGTGTTAGGATAAGATAAATGTGTACTTTCATGCAATTAGATGCCACTTGATAGCGTACGCTCAAGGTCAATGCATTCGACCAGCCCTATTCCTTTAAGTGGACAGGCAGTGCTGGCTGTATCTTGGTCGACGAAGAAGTAGAAGATTTAGTTCCTATAACCAACAGCAGCGTTTGGTTTATTGGTATGATTGTGGAAGATGACCATCGAACAGAGGCGACACCAGAGAGAGGCAATTCTGATGCCTGACTGTGTCTAGAGTATAAATGTCGATACACTTCAAATTCACTTTTGCTATCAAGGCCGGCAAAACACAGCGACCTACGCCTGGGGTAAGCAATACCAATGAGTTCAGTTTTCAGTTCACACATGACAGTTTGACTGTCAATTTCGACGACGTTGTTCGTTGTTAATCGGATCTAACTTACCATCTTACCACGCGTAACATACTACTAATTCCTGTTTTCATACAGTCGCTTACGCGCAGCTGTTATTACCAATTTTGTATTTTTTTATTTTTACGATAGCACTAAGTTTGTAATGAAAGTGCTTTTTGGGCTTTATATATACAATTTATTATTATTATTATAGAAGACTCAAAGCAAACACAATAGCCTTTTCGTTGACTATGTTGACGTGGTAGTAAAATAACATGGAATCTACCGCACTCTCCCCCCTTCCCCATCTGGGTCTGGAGTCACGACCAAGCCAATAAAACCGGTGGTGGGAGAGGGCGCAGGTGGCTGGCGCGGTCCGAGCCGTCCCTATGTTTGCCTCCACACCTGGCTCGGATCCCAGCTGAGTAAAAGTGCCATGAAGGCCGCATGAAGCAGCAGCCATTGCAGCCTAACTTTCAGTAAGTAATTCCGCACAAATAATTAATGGGTTCACCGCGCGATCCGAGTTATCTCGTCAGCTGGTCATTTTTCAAGCCTTCAAGCGCGTTAGATTGTTTTA